AAGCCCCTAAACCCTCAACCCCTATAGGCCCTAAACCCTGAGCCCAAAAACCCCCGCGCTGGACAGGACACGGACTGTGACTCTCCCCGCTACGAGACGTTCGGACTTGTGGCTCGGATGCATGGGAGTTTCCGAAAATAATGGTGTACCTTATTTTGGGGTCCTTATATTAAGGATCCTATTATTTAGGGTACTATATTAGGGTCCCCTATTTTCAGAAACCCCCACATCGGCTTCGCCTTGAACTTTTTCTCCAAAGCCCCTGCACCTTTCTGGGCTTTGGGTTTTTGAACCTCTTTATGGCCTAACACCTCTACCTGCGAAGATTGCCAAATCTGCAGATTGAAGTGCTCTCTGCTTCGGGTCTGGGAGCCATCCTCGCCGGAAGTGTGACAGTTGTGAGTGGTTTAGGGTTTAGGGTTTAGGGCAGGTTTCTTGCGTGTGTTTCGGGGGAATTTCTTAGCATCCGATTGCGAGGACTTCGACGACGACGAGCTCTCGCCCCTTTCACCCCTTTCACCTGTGTCTCCGGGATCCGACCCGCAGCAGCATTTGCCGGTCTGCCGAAAGTGTTCGTGCACTTTTTGCAGCTTTGGCCTTCAGCAAGGCTCGATCTGTACCCTGCAGGCTGAGCCGTTTGTGTCAAACGGCGAATGGGCTGAATATATGACTGCCAGAAGATGATGCCACGAGCGGCCTTCCAAGCGTATGCCTCCTTGCGTTGATGAAGGGAGTTGTCATTGCCAAGCAGCCAAGGAGAAGTCGGGAAGCTTATTTTGGCAACTTGACAGCATTGGCAAGCACGGCAGCATCTTTATGAATAGATGCCAGCAGGGCATGATGCTGTGCATGCTGTCCCCGTTCTACGCTGATCGAAGCGAGTGGTCTGCGGTGCAAAGCATGAGCCTCAAGCGCTCAACTGGTTACCAAGACAATCCCTTATGGTTTCTTATCATTGTATTACCCTAAACCCAAAACCCTAAACCTAATCCCTAAACCCCTAACCCTAAACCCTAATTAAAACCCGAAGCCGAAGTCTCGGCGACGAAGCCTGCCCTGCAATGCACGGAGGCAGATCTCAGAGCCAGACATGCCATCTCGAGGTGCAACCTGAGTTCTTTCATTCCCAGACGTCCTTGATGCCTTAGTTTTCATGTCCTCTCACATGCCTCAAATATCACATCCTGACTGTTTCGGAAGCACCGGAAAACAGGCGAGACCGAGCGCCAGAACTCCAAGCAGGGAGCTCTCACGATGGCAAACCCCTTCGAACGCCTCCTGGCTCGACTGCGGCGAGCTCGCTTAGAGAAGCTTAGGTTTCACTGGGTTTTGGGCTTCGGGTTTAGGGTTGCGGGTAGCCTGCTGCCACTTTCTGTAAAGAGGAGAAATGCAGCCTTCCTTTTGGAGGTCTTCAAGTCTTCAGGCACGGGAGCTTTGATTATGCATTGTGCATTTCTACTGTATATTTGTGTTTGAAGGTTTGTAATATCAAACCCTGTCCTGTTGCCTGGTCATAGCATGTGTACATATCTGCACACAAAAGTGTTTAATTGTATGCTGCATACATACACACATACATACATACATACATACATACATACATACATACATACATACATACATACGCACACACACACACATACATATATATATATATATATATATACACACGTATGCTTACATATACAAACATATATATAAATATACATATACATATATATATATATACATACATACAACATGGAGTTTCGGAGCTTGCCCATGTCTTAGGTTCGATCAGCTCGGACAGACCCACTTCTCGCCGATTGCGTTCACGAGAAGGAGGAACTGAGACGGTCGCGCCCCCGTTCAACTCAGCAATCGTCGTTGTCGTGCACACGGCAGTAGTAGCAGTGGCTACAGCACATATTGTGCGGCTGCTAGCACTCGGGCTGTGGGGACGACAGTAACTTCCACTGCTTCGTCCCAGATATCATCAGATCAAGAAGCCTGGGTAAGGTGCCTGTTGCTGCTTCCGCTGCTAATACTGGTAATCAGGTCCCTGTTAGTAACGGGTAGTACTAGTACTGGTATTAGCACTAGTTCACTAGTTACTAATTAGTACCGGTACTACTATTGGCTCTAGCGGTAGTAGTATAGTAGCAACCAGTATAGTCGTATTAGTAGTGGTGGCAACTACCACTGCCACCGCGACGACGACGGTTCCTGCCAGTACTACTGCCAAGACAGCACCATATACAGCACCCGGCAGAGCCGCAGTACAGCAGGACTACGACGGTACTACGTAGGCCTTGCGGCATGCTCCGGAGGACAGCGGAAGCTACGACGGCACACCAAAGCCTCGGCTAACACTCCGAAACAGTCGAGCGCTACCGCCCCGAAACTCCCAAACCCTATAAACCTTCCGTGCCTGAGACTACAACTCGCTCCATGCCGCTGGGGCGCTTGGCAGCGGCAAGCTCAGATGGTTGCCGTTGTTACTGTTTGCTAGGTTTATATGTGTTCGTGGAGATAATGGTTGTGGTTGTGCTTGTGGTGGTGGTGGTGGTGGTGGTGGTGGTGGTGGTGGTTCTGGTTCTGGTTCTGGTTCTGGTTCTGGTTCTGGTTCTGGTTCTGGTTCTGGTTTTGGTTCTGGTTCTGGTGCGGGTTGTGGTTGTGGTTGTGGTTATTGGTGGTTGTTGTTGTTGCTGTTGCTGTTGCTGACACCGATGTTTAACATCATTTTAGCAGTTAAGTAGTTAAGTAGTATTGGCAATGTTGTTGTCTTTCAAGCCATGATTCTTGTTACCATTGTAATCTGCGTCTGTGCGTTCTTATGCATTTGTGTGTGTGTGTGTCGATGCTGATGATGGTGGTACTGAAGGTGATGGAGACGATTATAATTATGACATGTCATGACGATTGCTATTATAGGTGCTGTGCTTACACGTAGCAGCTCGAAACATGCTAATGTGTACTATTGAATGTATCTTCTTTATGCATGAATGTCGGTAAAGCTTCATGCTGTTACTCATCCAGCTCGCAGCGTTTTTTTCAACCTCCCTGAGGCCATACGAGGGCGTAACTCCGCAAAATTCAGAGGCGTCTTGCCAGGATTGCCTGAGCCTTACAGGTTGCATCCGTTCCTGTTTTCCAACGGCGAACTGTGGACGAAAGATCAGGTCCGGCGCACGGTCCGGAGCATCCGGAACTACCTGAGGCATCCTCGGTGGGCAGTTGCTGACTTGCCCGCGATGCTTCACTACGTCGATTCCGACCTCTGTCCTCCTGCTGGAGGCAGCAGATACTTCCGGCGCAGTTTCCCTTCGCTAGTGCTGCGTCCCATATTCTTCGCTTTGCTTCGCTTTACCTAGAATTCGCATGGAGATTTTCCGGAGGAAGATCTGTCAGCTGTCCAGCTCTGCTAAACGAGTTTGTCTACAGGCAGCTTGCACGTTGAATTGCAGACCATTAAAGCATCCCAGCACTCAACTGGCCTGTCGGCGTACATAATCCATTCTAATTCGGCCATCCATGAATAGGAGGTACGAGGCATGCTCAGCCGACTTGGAGTGCAGGGTTTTGGCAACATCGCGCACGGTATGGGCTCCACATTGGAGACACAAAAGCCTAAATACCTGGCCAGAATGGACGGGCCGATTCGTCGTAACGCTGGCGCCTGAGGGCCCCCTCGAGGCATAGTCTTATAGTCGACTTGCAGGCATAGCCTAAAGGCACGCCCCGTGCGTTTTGGAAGGAATGACGGCGAGAATTGCCCTCCATAGGCCTTATTGTTCTCTTAGAGTTTATGTTTTAATGTTCAAGCCACGCGCCATGTTCTGATCTCCTGATGGAGCTTCCAGAACTGGTCTGGTTGAAGCCACTTGTACAGCAGGCCTCAGCACAAACCGGGATCCTAAGCCCCAAACCCCAGCTGTGCAGCTCCAGTCATTAGCCTACACCCTTGAACCCCTAAACCCCTATAAAGGAAGGTGGCAAGAACCGCCCAATCCGTGGCTTGGCCAATGTTCCGTTGGCTTGCGGCGTAGGCTCGTGCCTCAAACGAGTCGTTCGGTCGAGGGCTGGTGCACTGCAGAGCAGCGCTTGAGTCTGTCGGCCTGAGCGACATAAGGATGAACGAAGGATGTTTGGATCCCTAAACCCTAAACCCTAAACCCTAAACCCTAAACCGTTTGATGCCCTCTCATTGTCCTGCCAGCTGGCCCACAGAGTGCCAGTTTTCCTGGGCCATGAAGAGAAGTCGGATTCAGAAATGTCGCGAGGAGCCGGACCTTGGGGCGGGGGACACATGGGGGTTTCCGAAAATAGGGGACCCTAATATAGTACCCTACATAATAGGATCCTTATTATAAGGACCCCAAAATAAGGTACCCTAGTTTTTGGAAACCAAATTTAGAGCAAGCAATTCCCTGGAACTGAGGCCAGTCCTTATCTGGCTGAAGTCCCGGCAGTGCGCCTTAACTGCACTTCTCCAGCTGCTGCCTGTGAGGGTGCCCGGTTACCCTAAGGGTCCATGTACCTAAATAGTAGATACTTTGGCCTTAAAGTCGTCCCTATTTGGGTACTTTGGGGCCAAAGTACCTATCATTTGGGTACATGGACCCTTAGGGTTAGCCTTCTGATGCCAAGGTCTCTGTGTCTGGCATCTCTCTTCCGAGCAGGTGCCAAAGGCCATCCCAGTACAAGTCCTACGAAAAACTCCCAAAGCAAAGCGTTTAGGGTTTAGAGTTTAGGGTTTAGGGTTTAGGGTTTAAGGGAGACTCCCTGAAGGGGACCCTTCTGAACCCAATTATAAAGCAAAGCGAGCTGTGAGGCGGCTTGGGAGGTGCTCCCCCTGGCCTTGTTCACCTGAAGGGCGGCTTCCGTCTGCCTGGCGCTTTCTCGCAGATCGGAGTGCGGACTGCTTGTGCCTTCCCTACAACCTGCCAGGACAAGACTGGCTGTTGGAAACATGTGCGGCCGAAGATGCTTTTTCTTAGCGGGAAAAGGGCCGCAGCATGCGGTGCACATGCGTCCGAAGCCGCACGGATCACGACCTTGCTTCTGCCTTCTCAAGCCCTGGCTTTGAGAGACAGAAGAAGCCGTCATGTCGCATGACACTCCATCCAACCTGACACCCGTCGTCGGTAGTCATCCTGCCACGTGGGAGGCATGGACGAAGAAACGAAGCCGAAGATAGTTTCGATCGAGGTCGATCTAGAAATCGGGGGCCGGCCATGGATACGAAGGACACCGTAGTCACGACGGGGCCCAAGACTTGCTTCTGTAGTGGACATAGAGTTTGAAATCCGATGAACCAAAGCCCAGTACACTACATACATCCGGCAAGAGCATGCGAAAGAAAACTGAAGATGCTGATTGCAGCTTTCAGCACCGTCATTGGAGCTGGACGCACGTGCATACGTAGCTGTTTCCAAGCGTGGCTGAATTCCACATGGATAGGAGGTTGCAGTCATGCCTGTGTCGCCTTCGGAACATCCATTGGCCAGGGTAGGCTTAGCATACCATTGCTTTCAGTTTTTGAAACTCTTTAAATAAGAAACTCACTTTTGTTCGAGGGATAGCTCTAGGTTCGGGTACGCAGCAGCCGGCATGACGGCCACCGACCCTGCAGCAGCCATGGACGAAGCAGAGATAGGAGGAGATGTGGCTGCAGAGAAGGGGAAGCCCGAACCCGGAGGTGGGCAGCAACAGGGTTGTTGGTTGTGGGGATTTTCTACAGCGTTGTGACGTTGTGGGCTTAGAAGTTGTTCCGACGGCGTGTTATTTATGATTTGTTTTGGGAGCGGGTGCGGATCGAGGTTCTTAGGGATCTCCAGGTGGTTTCGGGTGTAGGGTTTTAGTTTAGGGTCTAGGCTGACTGGAGCTTAGTGGCTGAGTAGAGAACCTTTAACCTTTTGGGGCCTATATGATCCTACTATAACTGAAAAGGTTAACCTTTTTTGGGCTAGGGTACTCAGCCTTTAGGGGAGAGCTGGAGCTGAAACCTGTTCTTCCAGGCGAGTTGATGTTATTTGATGACGGGTCCATGACAGCGGACAAGGCACAATCCAGTGCCATGAGCAACACGACTGCAGGAAGCTGGTTCTGCCCACCCTTAAAGGGCTTGTCCGAGTTGTTAGAGTGTAAACCCTTAAAGGTTTGATCATCAACTACGCCGACCCGTCACTGGCTGCTGGCACTGCCGTGCTGGGCTTGGGCTTGGTGGTGCTTCCTTTCCTCAGCAAGCTGAACAAGCTTCTGGGCTTTTGTTGAGGAACTGACTTGAGGTCACCATTACCAGGATAACGCGTTGTATACGACGACACATGCCAAAATCAGATCTTTGACCCCCGGGAAGCCTGAATACCTCTCCGATTCAACCATGTTAACCTCGTAAGCGAGGTCATAGATCCCCTATCCATTAAACCGCGCGCCTTGAAGCCCTAAATCCTACACCCTCAACCCCTAAATCCTGAACCCTGAACCCTAGCCAGGCTTGTCCGAGTGTGAGTGTCAAAAAACCCTGTACCCCAAACCCTTAAGAAGATCCCCTAAATCCTGAACCCTAAACCCCTAAATACTGAACCCTAAACTCTAAACCCCAAACCCTCAAGAAGATCACAGGCTCTCTTCGGAGGACACTTTCCGCTACCGAGCTCACGGTGAGATGAGCCTTGAAGTCGTTCACGGGCTTCTCAAACTTTTTCTGTGGGGTTCACCAATTTCCGTATTTAGGGTTTAGGGTTTAGGGGTGCGGAAGATAAGGAGCCCGCTGTTTAGGGTTTAGGGTTTTGAATTTAGTGTTTTACTTGTACATGTGGTTCCGTTTGTTTGCGAAGCTCACTTGTTCAGAACATGCAGGATGGGCTTTTGCGGATTTCGAGATAGCGGGCCTCGGGTTTCGGCCCAAGGACTCCCGAGCACATACTTTGAGGCTTCTCCAGGGGCACAACCTCAAGACCCTACAACCATCGCAAAGCCAAGCCCTGGCAAATACTGGCAAAGCAAACCAGAATTAATCCCAAATTTAGATGGGCCCCAAACCCTACAACCATCCTAACATTTGAAGGGCGACACCCCGACTCGGCTATCTGAGTTGTGAGAGCTGAAACTTTCCTCGCCGAGGAACTCCAAGCAGCAGATGCGGATATTTACCGAGGCGGATGGCTTAGTAAAAAAACCGATGATCCTAATACCAGTATGATTTTGTAACATAACCACACATAACCCCAATTCTGCTAGACTTCCCATATCTTCCCAAGTATAGTACTGCATACTACAAACCCAATCCCTGATCCCTAATCCCTAAGCTCGAATCCACAATCCCCAAAGCCTAAACTAGTCTTCGCATATGTCCCGAGGCAGAGCTTCGTCAGAGATTGGGGTCCTTGGATGTGGAATCGGCGGCTTAGCTCTCCAAGCCTAAAGTTTGGGTCTATTTTTATGTTTTTTTGTGTAGGGTTTCGGGCTTAAATCCCAACCCTAAACCCTATAAAGTTAGGGTCTGGGCGGTTCCGTCTGAAAAACACTGTTCTGCCCTTTTGATGCGACATGTTTCTCAGGGACCTTTGGGGTCTAAACAGACTTGAGCATGAAATTCCCCAGACCGTAAGTCCTTAAGGCTATAAGCCGTGGGAAGTAAGGTTGCCAGTGAGATCACCATGAGCACAAACGAGCTGGACGAGCATATGGAGGCTCGAGTTTGCTCGAAGCTTTTCTGCCTATGCGATGCGAGCCCTTATAAAGTATGGTTTTGGGTTTGGGGTTTACGTTTAAGTTTAGGGGTTGTGGTGTAGGCTTTTTTGCCTTGCTCAGTGCGAGTGTCAAAGACCCAGAGCACTGCCCGCGACCAACCCCAAAGCCCAAAAGCACTCCAATATAGAGGCCATAGAGGCCTTAAGACTTACCTATATTATTTTGGGGGTTCCCTTTGAAATCATGGTATAATGTACCCCCAAAACCCTCTTCTGATTATTAAGGCCCCTATATTAAATCTAAATCCTCTGCGTGTGTGTGCGCTGCAACCCTGCTTCAGACTTCCAGCATGGAAGAGACAGACGACGAGGCCGGGTGCACCGTGAAGCAACTTCCTCCTCTCCCCCTCCCCTTAGGGGCTCCTGATTGCACGACTTTCTTTGGGAATCCAACAGAGACTCCAATTTAGAGAATGCAGCGTAACCCCGCACATGTGTGTGTGTGTGTGTGTGCAACTTCTGAGCCTTGATTGTGGCTCTTCTGCTCATCAACGAAAGACCGGGCGATGAAGAAGGATTCAACCGACCGATAAGATTTACGATTAGGGTTTGAGGTTCAGGATTCTTCATCAAGTCCAGATGTCAAAAAGAAGCTTTGAAGCTGCGAAAGGTATCTGAAAGCTGCTTCCTTCGGCCTTCCTTACCCTAAACCCTAAGCCCCTAAACCCTAAACCCTACCTTAGGTCAGCAGAATACAGAAGTGGCGCGACTCTGTGAATGCCAACTTGAAGAGCTTGCAGAAGCGCTCCGCTCTGGCTTTCTTGGGCTTACCCCCAGATTCCAGCATGAATGAGCCTTGAAATGCAATCGAGGTTTAGGGTTTAGGGTTGGTCATATCCGGTTCTTGGGGGGTTCTTGCTTCATGCAGACGCTGTCCAAGGACATCAATGCCATGTACAAGAAGATGGCGTTAGAGCTTCATCCGGACAAAGGTGGCAGTTTCAAAAACCGAGCACCCGAGCATGGACCGTAAGCCTCAGGTAGGATCCCATGAGCCAAACCACAAGGACCACTAACCCCGCCCCCCTCCCCAACCCTAAACCCTAAATGGGGGCCGGATTGCTAAGTGAGAGGGAAAAAACTGCGGGGGGCCGGAAACCCTAAACCCTTCAGAGCCCGAGTGTGAGAGCGTAACATAATTACCAACATTATTCCTTCTGGCTCCTTCTCTTAATTCTAGTCTAAAAACCCCCAAAACCCTTATTCTAATCATTAAGG